CACCCAGAACTGTGACCCAGATCTAAGCACAGCAAAGCAAGAGAATCCTGCCTCAGCACCAGCAAAGAGATCCCTGTAATCCCATTCTGATCAGCCACTCAGGGGCAGGACTGGGGGCAGAAGTGGGAGGGGGAGAAAATTTAAAACTCAAAATCTTATGGAAGTGAATAACTAAAAGTAAATTAATTAATTAATTTTAAAAAAAATTAAGAGAGACAGCCAAATGACCATCCTTTTATTAATAACATGCTGGTCTTATTAACAGAATGATTAAATTGCCCAGGAAAAAAAAAAAGAAAATGCAGTTTCTTTCATAGTTCAGCTCTTATGCCATACACGATGGGAAATTTTTCCCAGTCCCCTTGTGGTTGATGTTATCTTGCTCTTCAACTTATCTTTTGTGTGTGTGTATGTGTGTGTGTGTATTTGCATCCCCTCCCCACCAACAACCCCCCAGTAAAATATAAGCTCCTTGAGTGCAAGGATTCTTTTTCCTTTGTCTTTGTATGTCCAACACTAAGCACGGTGCTTGGTACGTAACAGATATTTAATACATGCCTGCTGATTTGGGACCAGTGACTTCCAGGTTCCTCTCCCTCCTTTCTCAACCAGTACTTGACTCACAGTTTTCCTCTCTACCCCATGTGCCTTGACCTTGTTTTCGGTGACTTCAATATTCATGTGTATTTCCCTCCCTTTAAACATCGTAGAATATCTATCACATCTACTCTACCTCAGTCACCCAAAGGCGTTAGGCATCACATCTTTGCTCTTGTAACCCATAAATGTTGTACCTCTATGATACTGAATTCTGAAACTTTTCTCTCTGATCATAATCTTCAAACCTTTCACCTATGATAAATACGTTGCTTCACCCTTCTTAAACCTGCTTCAATCCTACTATCCCCCTATGTTCTAGACTCACTTTCCTTCCTTTATATAAAGTCTTAACCCTCCCAAAACTACCTTGCTCCCATTCTGCCCAGCTTCCAGATACACTTATTTATGTACACATCTCTTCTCATTACATGTCTTTATCCCCAGCACCTAGTACAGGGCCTGGCACATAGAAGGTGCTTAATAAATGCTTACTGAATGATTGATCAGTGAACACCTAGAAAAGGAAGTGGTGATGACAGAGTCAACATGGCTTTAGCAAGACCACGTCATTCCAGACTAACTACATACACAGACACACACAAACACAGAAACATACACACAATTTTTATATCTATATATATAGCTTATTATATATAACCTTATCTATGTGGGGGGGAATATCTCATGCTCTTTGATATAAAAGATGGAGGAACGTGTGCTAGACAATAGTACAGTTACACAGCTTCAGAGCTGGGTGAATAGTTAGACCCAAAGTAGAATCATTAATGGTTCAGTATCAAACTGGATGGAGGTCTCCAGTAAAGAGACCTAGGGATTTGGTCCTGGACAGTTAAGTGTTATCAATGACTTGGATAAAGGCTTAAATGGCATTCTTACCAAACTTGCAGATGACATAGAACTGGGAGGGATGACTAACACACGGATAACAGGATAGAACATTGGGCTGGATTTAATAAGATGAAATTTAGTGAAGAGAAATGTAAAGAATTATATTTAAGTTTTTTCAAAAATTATTTCACATGTTTAAGATGGAGGAAGGGTGGATCGATAGTAGTTCTTTTGAAAAAGATCTGGGACTTGTAGTAGGAAGTAAGCTCAATATGAGTCATTAGAAGGAAGAGAGCTTGCCCATCAGTGGAAGTGTTCAAGTAAATCTGGATGACTACTTGTCAGATATGTTGTAGTGGTGTTTCTTTGGGAGGATATGGATTAAACTAGATGTTCCCAGAGGTCCTTTCCAATTGCAAAAGTCTGTAACCATTTTGATCTCCCAGTCATTGATCATTTTTTTCCTCCTTAAAATACTTTCCTCCTATTGCATCCACATCGATGCATCACTATTTTACCACCACTTCCCACTTCTTTTCTATCCCAAATGTGACACTAGGGCAAGCCTACAGTGTTGGAGCCTTTGCTTTTTATTCAATCCATAAAAGAAACAACTTTACCTAAACTACTACTATTACATTTCAGATAAGAAATTTCATATATATATATATGTATGTATATATGTATATATATATATGTATATATATATGTATATATATGTGTGTGTATATATGTACACATACACACACACAATCAGATACTTTCCAGTTCCCTAATTCCTTGTGTCTAAGTTTTGATTTCCCCAGCAAGATGCTATGGAAGGTTCCTTGGTCCAAGTGTCAGGTCCATCTCTTTACCAAGAGAGCCAACAATTCAGTAACTTGATGAAGTTGGCTATTTGATTCTCAAGAGGCAGCTACAGAAAGAATATGAGATTTGAGTCATTAGATCTGGGCTTGAGTGCCAGTTCTGCCACTTATTAGATGAGTCCTTCATCTTATTTGAAGATACTACCTGCCTCACAATTTTGTTGTGAAGATTAAACGAGAACATGTGAAGTGTTTTGTAAACCATACAATACTATACACCTCAGCAATTATTACCACTATCATTACTGAAATTTAACAAAAGGGTAGTAAACTGAGGCAATTCTCTAAGCAAGATAACATTTATTAATAGGGGCATGCTGCCTGCCAATAAATGGGTCAATGGATTGTCTTCATTTATGCCAAAGCAAAAGAACTGCTCCCCTTTTATAGGTTTGGGGGATTACAGAACAAAGAACAGAACAGGGTGGGTGACATCATATGGTCCAGGGATGCCGAGCTGCAGGGGGCAATATGATTGGTTGGAGGCCCTGCTTCCCTCCCAAGCGGTCTAGGTCCAAGATGACAAACCAGATGTCCTTAAAGGATAGCTTGGTGGTATAAAGACATTAGTGGGAACTCCCTTGTGTTTACAAGCATCCCTCAACGTCAGCTAAACTCCTTGAGGCAAGAACAGATTGGATTTCTAAATTTAACTCATTACAGGCCAACTAAATTCAGAAACAAAGAACCATGACTTAAGCAATTACAGGACAAAAACAGTTACAAGTAATTGTAAACAGGATCAATAAATAAATGGTGCAGGATCAATCTTAATCTTCTCACCATCTTATTAGCACTTCCAAAAATCTTTCCCCTCACCCTCAGTAAAGTCTATTGTGTCATAATAAGGGACCAGAGGAGGTAATCCTGGGTTCTTCAAAGCTACATGCCAACAGACCTCAGGTCTCTGCTATGTCACACCAATCTGTATCTGTCTGCCAATCATCAGACAAGCTAACTGTAGAAAAATTCAAGAGTAGAATGTGTTGACCATTATTTAGTGAATGAATTTTTTCAGCCATATCAATTCATTCAGACTGTCCAAAGCCACTGAGGGTTTTGATATGCACTAATAGAAGTACTTACACTTATGGCAGCTGAGTGGCAGTGGATGAAGCCCCAGGCCTGGATTCAGGAAGACCTGAATTCAAATCTTACTTCAGACATTTACTAGCTGTGTGACCCTGGACAAGTCACTTAACCCTTTGCTGTAAAATGAGCTGGAGAAGGAAATGGCAAGGGGGCAGCTAGGTGGCACAGTGAATAGAGCTCTGGCCTTGGATTCAAGAGGACCTGAGTTCAAATCCAGCCTCAGACACTTGACACTTACTAGCTGTGTGACTCTGGGCAAGTCACTTAACCCCAATTGCCTCACCAAAAAGCAAAAAAGAAACCCCAAAAAACAATGACTTTTTTTTAAAAAAAGAAGGAAATGGCAAACCACTTCAGTATCTTTGTCAAGAAAATCCCAAATGGGTTCACAAAGAGTCAGATACGTACTGAAAAGGTTGAACAACTTACACCCATAAAGCCCCAGCTAACTGAATTATTGAAGTACAAACACTCTTATCACCATTCCCCAAATCCTCTGGCAAGACACTTTCTAAACAGTATAAGGAGCTTCCCCCATTCCCTCCCCACCACGAAAAAAAGATATTCTGATACCAAAGAATGGTAAATTTTCATAGCAGACTCCTATAAAAAGCATCCTAAAGTGTGTCTTTACAAACCAAGGAATTCCTTTGCCTGAATATTCATTCATATAGCTACGTGTAGATAAATTAAAGAGATAAGCAAAAGCAGAAAAAATTATATCACAATGAAGTTAACAGCAGGAAACTCAAAAATATCAGTCTTTGCCTCGACCTTCATTTCTCTGCTTTCCCCTTTTTCCCTTTCCTTTGAAACCCCACAACTTTTCTTTTTACCATAGGTGGTGGAGAAAAAGGAGACTCTAGTTAATACGGCTTTAAAAGACCTCAGATATTTATGCATCTTTAACAATCAGCCCATAAGTATCTGACTAAAACAAAGTCAAGTTGGACTGACCCTCTCAACCTTCTACTCAGTTCAACTCATCTCATTACTGAAGCAGCTATTATATGGCATATAATATAAGCCTATATTCATAGGCTTCATGTTTTGTGACCTCTTCTATACGGATGCCTGATGATTAAGTGAAATACAACTCAACTTTTCCATACACAGCAGGTTTACTCCACCTTTACCTTTCCCATCATTAATGTTTCTCTAGCTAAAATATCTGGGCTAGTAAAGTGTTTTACAATCCCTTTTTTAATACATATTTCTCATCTAGTTAGTTATTGTTGCCCTTGATTGGGAAGAATGGGGAGGCATCACAAGTACAATGACTTCACAGCATTATACAGAGCTGGAAGGGCTCTAGGTGGTCAGCTAATCCAATTCTGACCCCCAACAGGGGGGTCACACAACCTCATAACCTTTTAAGTCTAATAAGTAACCAGCAACTCGGTACTTCCAGAAGCAGTTCATTTCGTATTGGGATATCATTAATTAGCATCACAGCCTAGAGCTGGAAGTGACCTTCAGAGGCCATCTTGTCAAACTCTGATTTTACAGATGAGTAAACTGAGGCACAAAACCGTTAAATCTCGATCAAACAATAAGCGGCAAAGCCGGGATTGGAGCAATATGACTTACCCAAAATGGTGAAAAGAAGTGTGACGAGCATTTTTATCAGTCTTGACCCGGAGACACAGCCCCTTCCAGGTAGGGAAGAAACAAACAACTGATGCGTCTTTCTTTGGGACCGGGAAACCACGAAAAGCCAAATGGACCGGGAAAACTTCCTTTCGGGGTTCGGAGGCACAAACCCACACTGAAGCCACGGGACATAAGCGGCGGAGCACTGGGATGGGGCTTCTGGGAGCCCCATATTCTCAGCCAATCCCGGGCAGTCCAGTAGCCTCCGGGCTCTGGCCGGGAAGGGAGGACGCTCGGGGCTCCACACGCGCCGGGCAAGTCCAACCCAGCAGGTCCCAGAGGAGCCGGGGGGCACTTCTAAACAGGCCACCTCATCCTGCCCCAACGACAGAGGGTGCCGGAAGAAAGAGGCCGAGAAGGATACTCGGGAGGGAAGAGTTGTCATCTCCCAGAGGCCCGGACCAACAAGGCTGAAGCAGGCAGAAGCTAGCCACGGACCCGGGACACCTGAGCTCAGCTAACACCGTGGCGCTGAGTCTAACACACAACTAACCCCAACCCCCTCAGAGCCCCGCCCCCTACTGCCACCGCGCCCAATCCCGCCTCAGTCACTGACCTCAGGCCCCGCCCTCTATTGCCTCAGGGCCCTATCCCTCCCTCTCCAAACTCCTCCTGAAGGCCCCGCCCCCATTGGGATCCCGCCCCCATCGCCTCAGGGACCTATCCCCTTCCCAGAGACCAGCAGGCCCCACCCCTTCCGGGACCCCGCCCCTACTACCTTAGGCTCTATCCCTTCACCAGGCACCGCCTGAAGGCCCCGCCCGTCCTGAACTCCCATGACAGCGCCCCCTCGGCGATTCAGGTCCCAATCCACCTCCTGGCACAGCCTCCTCCCCGCTAGTGCTGGGGAAGGAGCCGGTCCGCCTACTTTCCTAAACAGGACCAGAGCCCACGCCCCTTCATGATTGAGAGCTCCGCCCCTCGCCTTCCCAGGTCACGGAATGCCGCCCTTTCCTCTCCCCGGGAGTGGCTTCCTTGCCGCCCCGGTCCCAAGCACTGACCCGCACCAGCACTTTCTACCGCTCCACAACTCAAGTCTGTTCCCGAGACTCATTCCTCATTTCACTCCGTTCCCCCCTCCCTTCTCCCTCCACGCTGGGCTCCGCCTCGAACCCAAGCCTCTGGCCCCGCCTCCTTGCCTCAAGCCCCCCGCCTCCTGGCTCCCGGAGCTTCAGAGTCCGCCCTCCTCCCCATCTTGCCTTCGAGCTCCGGCCCTCTGCCGCAGCCGCGAGATCCAGTCGCCACCACAATTGGTTGAGAAAGGGGCGGGAGGTGGGAACTTCCCCGTGCCTCTCTTGTGATTGCCTGGAGACCGTGACCTCTCCGAGTCCTCTCGGTGCGCGGAGGCATAACCCGGAAGTTGTTCTCGCGGTGGCTCTCTCGTGCTTCGTGGGGGGGGATCAGAAGCCTGCGGTCTCGGTAGCCGGCGGTGCCGCTGAGATGACCAAAGTCAAGAGGGAAGTGGAGGAGTCGGAGGCGGCGCCGGAGAGCTCCGGGGCTCCTGAGCGGACGTACGAGGAGATGCTGTCGAACCTGAACCCCATCGCGCAGCCCCTAGCGTCCCGCCGCCTGACTCGGAAGCTGTACAAGTGCATCAAGAAAGGTGGTCTGGGGAGCGTGGAGAGGCTGCGGCTGCGGCTGCGGGGAAAGGAGGGGAAGCCGGGGGGAAGAAGAAGGGGGGAAGGGGGAGTCAGAAGGGGGGAAGAAGGGGAGGCCGGGCTGGAGCCGCAGGCCCAGGGCTGACTCCTGCGATCCTTCCAGCCGTGAAGCAGAAGCAGATCCGGCGAGGCGTGAAGGAAGTTCAGAAATTTCTTAACAAAGGAGAAAAGGGGTAAGAGCTGACGACGTGGCTTTACCTACCCACTTCTTCTTAATGATGATAAAAACTTAACATTTATATAGGATTTTATGGTTTGGCAAAAAGGTCTTTGCATAGGTTATTTAATTTGAACTTCAAAACAGCCTTGTGAGGTAGGTGCTATTTATTCTCCAAAAGGTTAAATGACTTGTTCAGGGGCCCACAGCTAACATTTGAGGCAGGATTTGCACTCAGGTCTCTTTGACTTCAACTCCAGCACTCTATCCTCTAGCTGCCTCAGATTAGTATCACCACGTAAGTTCCTCATTGCCTGGCAGTTCTCTAAGGCCTTTTACTCCAAAAACAAGCCTGGTTTAGTAATATGCATTCCAGAGAGGTAAGCAAATTAAAACTTTAAGCCTTTGGCTCCTTTATCCATTTTGCCATCAAATATTCATTGAGTGTCTATTGTGTGAAATATATAGATGAGTAAGCCATGAGAAGTGAACCTGGAGTAGTCAGTACTGACCAGCCAAGAAGACTTGCTTTCAGATCCTACCTTGACAGTAACTAGTTTGTGACTGAACAAGTCACTTAAATCCTCTGAGCATCAGCTTCCTCGTCTTTAAAATGTGGGGGTTGGCCTCAGATATCTAAATGTATTATCCTGTTCTCCCCAGTCTGGCAGGGAAGACGGGACATACATATGTCACTATTTCTACAAGTCAAATTGTCACCAAAAAGGCATATAATGTTTTAGTTGTCAGAGGAAGTAGAGTATATCACCTTACTTTATAAAACTTAATCCTTGATAATTACCAAGCAAATGTTTTTATCAGAGTGAGCAAAATTATAATAATTTATTTGAAAACAGCATTGCAGAGAAAAACAACTTTGAACTACTTTAGAACTTTGGTTAATGCAATGACAAACTGTAAGTCCAGAAGCTTGATATAACACAACTCGCCTTCTGCAAGAAAGTTAAAAATGCAGAGACATTCATTTTGGGACATAGCTAATGGGGGAATTTGTTTTGCTGGACTGTGAGTGCTTGTGATAAGGGTTTTGTTATTGTTCAATTGGGAGGATTGTGGGAGAGACAAATTACTTTTTTTAAAAAAAGGTATATATTGGGGGTGGTTTGATAACATTGCCTAACAGTGAGTTGACATCTCAGTAGAGAAAATAACCCCACACATTCAGGTTTCAACATCCAGATAAAGTCATGGAGAGTCCTTTAGCATTTAACCCAACTTGATGAATTTCAGAAAGAGGAAAAAATTGAGAGCCAGAAAGGAAAAATAACTTGTTCAAGGCCCCAAAACTCAGGGCCAAAGCTGGAACCACTAGCCAAGTCTTCTGGCTAATTCCAGTGCTCTTTCCATTGCAATACTTTTCACAAGCATAATACCCAGGAATTATGTATGCCCTAACCACCTTCTGTCCCTGCCCTTAAGAAAAACCTCTTGACTGGAGATACTTCAGGTTGAGAGATTTTCATTCTATGAGGAGATGAAAACAAATGACTCATTTCATTACAGGATTATGGTTTTGGCTGGGGACACACTACCCATCGAGGTATACTGCCATCTCCCCATTATGTGTGAGGATCTGAGTATGCCGTATGCCTATGTTCCCTCGAAAACGGTAAGAACTTTTTTAGTAGCTGCTGTCTGCAGTGTTGCCTGTTCTAGCAGTATAAAAGCATGTGAATATATTTTAGAGAAAGGAATAGAATAAAGTTAATTGAAGCTAGGTCTTTTGACTCAGTCCTGGTATGCTTATTCCTGAACCCCTGAAAAGGCATTTCAGAGTTGTCATGGTCATTATTTAAAGTTACTTAGCAAGTAATAACCTTTTTAAAGAAGTTTGAAGAAAAACTAGCCCTTTATTTTATTCCCACCTTACAGGATCTGGGAGCAGCTGCTGGCTCTAAGCGCCCAACTTGTGTGATCATGATTAAGCCACATGAGGACTACCAGGCTACATATGATGACTGTCTGGAGGAAGTAGAGTCTCTTCCAGTCCCCTTGTAAAGAAAAGTAGTGTCGTGTTCATGATTATTTAGGAGACCTTTCTTGACTGCAAAAGACAGTGGTACAAGCAAACTGCTTCATTATGCCTGCAAGGAGCAGGTGACCCTCCATCATTTCCCCACCAGCATTCCCAGAGATTTTTTTTTTATGATAGCTCAAACAGTAATTTCACAAAAGTTTGGCCAGTAGTATCATGGTTGTCAAGGCTGTTTACTACTAAGCAGTGAAATAAAGTTTTGAAAAAATAACTTCTAGTATTTTGTGGGGGAGGTAGGAGGGCTCTGGTTTCTTTTTTTTTCCCCCAAGTACAATAACAAATGGAACACTGGTCCCCCCCAGAAGGAAAATGCTAACATACTTTGTGAAAGACTAATCCACCCACCTCTAAAATGAGCAAGCCACAGAGCAAGGCTTCTGCCTCCATTCAGCTCCCACTCATCTAACAGTGAGAGCTCTGACTCCCAGAGTCTTACTGGAACCTAACACCACCACCAACCCTCACTTCATTTCTCTCATTGCTACAGGGGTCCCAAATAATTCTACCCACCATTGGGATCAGGTCACCTACCTGCACAGCTTGAAATAGATTTTCAAACCCAAGTCATAGTAAATGTAATAACTGTTGGCAGCATCATAGCACCTTGCTGGATCCCAACTTTGTTGTTTAAAATGAGGTCACCTGATACCTTCATACAGAGCTAATGTGGAGTGCCTTCCAAGGAAGAAAAGGTTCACCAGAAGAAGTTGCTTGCATCCCTTCTGCCCCAAAAACTGAGCTCTTGGTACTGATAACTTTTTGCTAAAACAGCTTTTTTTTTCTTTAGCTTTATTGATACATTTGATTTTTCTTAAATCAGATGTGAGGCAGCCCGTGGACCAGCAGGTATTCTTCTTACCCTTGCAACTCCCAATCTTTGGTATTAAGTGAAATGTAAAGATAAAGCAATTACAGAGAAGGCAAGTGATTTATTTGTTCAAAGTTATAAAACAACTGCATCCAAGTCTACCTAGACTATTTACATTGTAAAACTGGTAAATACAATTGAAACACTGTACAGTAGTAAGTGGCTGGCACCACACCTGGGCTGGCCTAAGGTTGTAGAGCTAGATCTAAATACACAAACTGCAGTGCAAGATAACAGAAGGGGAAAGAGGTGGAGAAATATATCTTGATGTTATGTTTGTTGCTACTTTAAACCGACAATAAGCAAAACAGCTGGCACAGGAGTGCATATAAGATATGTGGGCTTTGGAAGGGAGAACGGAACAAGGAAAGGCATCAGAGGTGCTGGAGCAGGGATACTGTCGGTGCCCAACCTGCAGCCATCCACTGGAGTTCAGTTCTCTGCTTAGCAGACAACAGTGAAAGACTGAAGAAACCACAGATCTTCCTTTGTGACACAGACGTTTTGGGGCTAACAAAAGGCCCTTGCCTCCCCAACTCCTCCTACGGAGTGCTGTTCTCAGCCAGCTTTTCAAAACACCATGGAAGGGGCCATCACGGCATGTCCATCCCTGGGTCTCATCTACCCTATAAAAGGCCAGCTGAGGCATTGGGAAAGTCCCTTTTACCAAATGAGCTGACTTCCTTGTTATCAGAATATGATACGTTTGCCATCAGCTGGGTTCTGCTCCATAGGGCAGTAAGGGCATTTCAGTCTGAGGAGAGAAGAAAACAGCAAAGGTTCAGAGACCAGAAATAGAAATAATATATTTGTCAACACTGCAGTTGATCCTCCTGCCTAACTGTAGGTCTTTCTGCCTTGAGTGTACCCCATCTCTAATCCAGCCTCCACAACAAGAAGTCTCCCTAACACGTTGTTCTGATGTTACTTTTACTCAAAAACAGGCAATAGAGAGCCCACAAAATAAAAATATAATCCTGGCATTCAAGTCTCTCCATAATCTGATTCCAAACTGCTCTTCTAGCTTTATCTCATACTATTTTATCTTCACATATTCTGGAAGACTGATATATTCCTTTTACCCCCAATTCTGCCCACTGAAGCCCAGATGCTCTACCTCCTTGAATTTTTCATAACATTCTGCCTGGACCTCTCTCTTTTGTATCACGGTTGTTGGTGCACTTGTCTTTCCCCTATTATAAAGCATTTTGAGAGTAGGGCCTATCTCACATGTAATCCTCAGTGCCTGGCATAAGGCCTTGCATATAGTTGACAGTTAATTTCTGAAGTGAATTTATACCACACTTGCTATCTAACACACAGATGACCATAAGTTCACGTTCTCAGAGGAGGTAAAATAAAACTTACTTTCCTCCGTTAATGAGCTTGTTGAGGGCATCCCTAGAGATGACGTGACCACAGATGAGTTTGATAGGTGGATTGGAATCTGAAGTTTGCTGGCGAAGGATAGGGCAGGCAAACACGGAGTGGTACCAGCACTTCATGCCCAGTTCAATTTCAATCTGTTAAGAAAAGGCAGCGCTGAGCTCCATCCCCCTCTGCTCCCTGTAGCTGCCACCCTATCATGTCCAGCCAGGACTTACAGGCAGCTCGTCCTTATGGCTCCAGACTCCTGTGCACTGTCTCTGCTCAATCACTGCTTTGATGTTCATTAACACGGGCAGTGCCACACACCCAGAGGCAAAGCTGCAGAAAGGAAAAAGCTTAGTGCTCTGAGTCATAAGACCTAGGTTTGAATTTGAGCTTTGCCACCTACTGGCTGGGTGATCTTGGGCAAGTCACTTTCCCTCTGAGCCTCACTTTCCTCTAAAATGAGGGAACTGACAAAAGAACAATACACATATTGACAAAGGTGTAAATGAAAAGATCCCTAAAAGGAAGTCAAATAGTACTTGCAAAACCACTGGAAATTAAAAAATATACTCCCCCTCCACAGCAGCGAGTCAAGAACTATCAGTACAAAATATTTACAAGGTACAGTGCAATTATTATACGGGATGTTTTTGCAATAACGTAGGATTCAATTTGGGGAATTAAAAGCAAAAGAAACCATATATACACCCCTTATGTGGTCTATTTCTCCCCAGAAATCAACTCTTAAATATGGACTTGGATTTTAAGCAATCTTCTCTAGAGTTAAATAAGATCCTGGAAGCTTTGCTCTAAATTCTATGTAAATCTATGGTCCTCTGGTCTCTTTAGGCAGGGAAGCCCAGGTCCTGTTACTACTCAAAAAACTGGGCTCTCCTCTCTCACTTGTCCCCAAGGAACTGAACTATACCTGACACTGAGGGGGGACTCCACGGATAGTCCAAGAAGAGCACAGGCATCTCGAGTAAAGGTCTCACAGATCTCTGCCCAGTGACTATTGTCCAAGAGGTGACAGTAGGGAGACTTCTCAATGCCCAACCGGAGATATACAAGGCTTCCCATCATCACCTGGATCTCTGCAAAGCAATACACAGGCAGCTCAGGAAGTGGCTAGGAATGCTGGGTGCTTGACCAACACCACACCTACATACAATAGCCTCCTCTTTACACCAAGTCCTAGGAATAGAGGGCTTAGAGCTGGAAGGGAATTTAAACCATCTCCCTCATTTTTCAACCCAGAGAAGTGACTTTCCCAAGGTCATACAGGTAGTAAGCAGCAAAGGTAGTATTTGAACCCAGGTCCTCTGATTCCAAATGCAGCATTAGTTCCACTACACCATACAGCTCCAGGTCCCTGGATAGAGGTGGGTCCTAATTATTTTGAGTAGAAAATGAAATGGAACAAGTAATTAGGGGGAAATTGGCATTCCTGTCACTCTAAGGTCTAATGAGAAAATCAAGAGCTAATTTCCAGAGGACTCCTAACCCACCAGCCAACTCCTTGCTGGATTCTTGGTCCCCTGGATCCTTAGCACTCTCACCCCGTTGATGCAGCCGTGCAAAGGGCTGGAAGTGGCGTGCATAGTTCAGGGCTTCCAGCTGCTTCTCCGGGCCCCCTGCCAGGAGACGGATGAAGTGCAGTCGGTGCAACTTAAACTCCAGGGAACTATTTAGCTCCAGCAGGCGCTGCCGATTTGAAATGGCCCAGCTGGGAAGGAAAGATAGGTTACCTCAATACCCAGCTGTGTCCCAGAGGGAATACCCTGAGATAGTAGCTATGATTCAGGGGGAAAAAAGTAACAAAAAGATGAGGCCTTTGACAAATTACCGTATCACCCAAAGAAAGGCGCTTGTAATCAGAAGCGTCATGGTGAAATGGTAAAATAAAGGTAACAGGCATGTCATCTGTACTCAATGCTAGGGGCCTGGATGCTGAACAGTAAAGGCAAGATGAGGTTTACAAAGCAAAGTACTTTCTTCAGGCAATACAAGCTCAGAAAGATTAGGTGACAAGCCTAGAGCTAGAAAATTGGCTTTCTAAGAGTTGGGACCCAAACTTCCTTTCTAGTTTCCCAATTGCAAAGCCTGGGCTCTTTCTAAAGGTGTCTTAGATCTACCAGGAGCCCATGAATCCCACATGGCAACCTTCCCCTCCTCCATACTCTAAAGCTGGTCGAAGGTCTTGTTCATGCAAAGCTTCCAGGATCCGATTTAGCTCCAGGAAAGGTTGCTTAAAATCCAAGTCCACATTCAGAGTTGATTCCTGGGGAGAAATAGATCACATCAGGTTGGTCACAGAAATAGATCACCTTCCATGCATTCTGTATGTTAGCTGCCATTAGAGATGGGGATAAGTTTGGAAGGAAGGACACTTCAAGCTTTGGTTCCAGTGAAACTCTACCAACTGCCTAAGAATTGAATCTCTACCTCTGCCCAGCTATGTTGTTCCCTTCTTATCTATACCCTCAGATCTGCTCCAATCCAAATTAACTGGAAGGTAGTTTAAGAAGCCTTCAGTACCTGACACAATTCCTCAGCAACATTCAGCATGCCCTGCTGGTAGAGGTGCTCCACAATTGCCATCTGCAAAATCTGCTGCTGTTTCTCTCGAGAGTCCCACACAGTATCAGAGACCACGCCACAAATCTCAGCATCAAAATTCTGATAACAAGAAGAGGAGAGAGCCTGTTGAATCCTCTCAGCCAGGTGCACTATCCCTTCACTAACAGCTCCAACAACTCTCTCATTTCCTCTTTTATGCTCCCATAATTTTGTCTAAGAACTCCAAACCCCTCAACCCAGAGTATATGCAGGAAAAGTAACTAGAGTCTACTGAGGAAAAGGACCAGAGACTTTCATGGTTAAACCTACTTTCCCCAGCCTCTGAACCAGGCCTTTTTGCATCTTATTCATTCTAACATTTGAGAAACTTTTCTTAAGTTCCTGATGTG